AAGAGATGAAGATGGCTTGTGCAATGCAGTTTTGATAAAGATTAAATAAAAACAAAAAAAACCCCTCCACATTTACTGTATTTTTCTTAGTAAGATCAGTGCACAATGTGTCATCTTCCTCTCTCCTCCTCGGAGAGATAAAAAGTGACTCATTGCCTTGCTTTGCTTTAATATTTTAGATATATGAAAAGACAGAGACAGTAACAAGAGACTCAGTGAATAGGAATATGAATGCTGGAGGTGGGGGAAGAAGGCTTGGAATGATACATACAGAGGAGAAGTTGAAGTGAAATAATGTTCTGGAGAATAAGCATGCTTGTTTTTGATGGGGGAGGTAGAGACAAGTGCACTTCTGTTTACTTAATTAGCATGTGGAATAGTTTGGAATAAGTTATATGCATTTTGATCCCATATGAGTTATTATAATAGCTTGCCAACATAAAAACATTTGAAAATGCCAAACAGTGTAGTGAATCTTTAAAAGAGCCTGTTTGCAATCAATGGTTGTTTTATGTTCCTATTAGAGAATGGAATGATATATGGCACTGCTGCGTGATATACTGCACCCCAGTTTACTGAATTTATCAGAGAAATAAACAAGACCACAATGACTCAGAAGTGGTGCGGGTAGTGGAGACCTGTGTGGGTTCGCAATAGTTTAACTAATTCTTCATAACATATTGTATGCTGAAACACACTATCATCTTTTCACTCTCTGCTTCTAAGTCATTACATAATAACCCTTTTAGCATACATTATTGAAAAATCTCTGTTATAGGCCGTCATTTTAGTGAATTTGATTAAAATCCCATGATGGAAAATAAGGTATTATAACACATGCACTTATATTGCAAAGGTCCTGCTGTAGTTGAGGCTTGGATTCCTTATTATGTTCAAACAAACTGTCCTGAGAAAATAATTTAGTGAGAAATGAACTTAGAGAACTAAAAGCACTTAGATCTGAACAAATTACTGAGCAAAATTGCCTTGCCATGAAATATTAGACTCATTGTCAAAGATGTTTAGTCTRCTCTGGGTGTTTGATCTATAAGGACTCTATTCAAAGCTAATTTCCTTTTCCATGGTTTTGGCCACAGAGAYTCCATGAGGCTTCTACAACTTGGCTCTTAGAGATCCCTCAGCTTGGTTTTAGAGCCAAATGTTTCTGGGCACTCGTCCGGAGGAGCTTTGGCTCAAGACTTTGGCAAAAGCCACAGACTAGAGCTGAGCAAAAAAAGTTGTCATGCCTACCTTCGTGCCCTTATATAGGGGAGCCATTGACTGATAGCATCAACTCTGCTCTCTCCCTTGTCCCAGAGTGGAACAGTGATGTCCCTGAGCACAGAGTCCACCCAGGCAGGCTGACAGCACCATTAGGGCATGCACAAATGACTTCCTTATGCTTGTCTGTACTCTGCTAGAAATATTGGAGGGGGCCCTGGCACACGGATTTGTCACAACTTGCTATGGATCTACTTGTATCTACAAATTGACTGGCATGCTAACAGATGGTCTTTCTTCTGTGCATTTATCTTGCTTAAATATGGCACTGTCCCTGATGCTGAATGGCTGCTGGCTTCCACCCCAGAGGTGGCTGCATTTCAGTGTCAGATGAGGGAATAAAATGCTCTAGGACCCTTGGGGAGGAAAGAAGAACTGTATAAAAATCATGTGTTGCTCATGCAGTGCTTGCACAATTTCTGGATGCTTTTAATGTTGATTTTCTGGTAGACCCTTGTATTTCTGAGGTGGTACAAGACATGTTCATATGCTGTGGTCTGGAACCCCTACTCATCAGAACAAGGAATAAATGTGACTTCAAAAGAGATCCTAGGCAGAGACAGAAAAGAAATTCCATTCTGTCCCTAAGGTGACCTCTACCAAGTTGCATTAACAAGGCTAATGCCACATGGTGACTGTACCAAACTGAAGTTTTTCCTCAGACTAAAGAAATTACTGTTGCCAACACTTTTGCTGAAACTTGTCATAACATCAATTTACTTTTGTCCTCAAAGTCCTGGAGATGCAGCAGGAGTGCCCACTGCCTGGTAGGCACAGATACACTGCCTGTTCTACTGAAACATGGAAGGAAACACCCAGTTCCTTCCCCAGAACAGCTGTTGTCAGACAAATGGCACTGCATCCTACCTTTGCTTTCTAAGTCTCCCAACTTCTCCTACATGTGAAGAGTCATTTTGGCTTTCTGGTGCACCATGCCTCTCAAAACACTTGCCACAGCAATTGCCTTGGGCAATGCACCGCAGCTGATTCTGCAGGAAGTTCTGGCCCATGGCCCCTGAACAGCCTGAACAGTAGGTTGGGGCAGCACCAGCTTGAAGAGTCCAGTTCCTCTCTCCTCTGACCCTGTGCAGAGACTGTCTGCTTCTTAATCCAGGTGCATCCTTGTGTGCAAAGCTCCCGGRTTCCAAGACTTTGTGAGCAGCTTGTCACTTGATACGTCTGATTACCATAGTCGTACTAGACTTTACATAACACCTCTACATACATGTTGACACCTCACATGATAGTCAGAGAATTTCCCAGACACCCTTTGCAATGTAATGTTGCACCAAATTCGTCAAAGCTGGCACAGGGAGACATAAATCATATTTCCAAACCCAACTCGGGGTATTTGAGCTGGATGATCTCCCTGTGGGATAGCCAATTTCCAGATGCTACTGACCTTCCTTGCTGTTTTTTCCATCACAGTTTTTCTGTGACTGAGCAAATCATTAAAGAAGACAGGTCCCCTGCATGCATATGTTCTAAATCAGTTTAGCTTACCATATGTGGAGGCTTCAACCCTACTGGTGGTTTAGGCCAGWTGCATCAGTTGTGGGGACATGTCCACTTCAATCGAGACTTTTAGTATCAAAACCACCCAGGTATGTTTGCTCCATCATTCCTCTATGACAACAATTTTCCTAGTCATACTTAACGTAAATAAAATATATTGTCCCTTCTTCAGCTCGTATCCTTCTTTCAGTCTTAAACCGTTGGTTTCAGTTTTGTTTTCTTCTTAAAATACTATCTTTTCAGTTATCAACTCTGTGAATGATTGTGATTTCCATATGCATATTCCTAAATATCAAGCATGGTTTAGCTTTTCCCATTATTTTCCTACATAGCTCCCTTCTGATCATATATTTATTTGTTGCTCCAGTTGATATACTTTTAGTGTGGAAGACCACAGTTATGTAAGAAAAGATTATAACTTCATTATATGATGTTCTGTGAAATTATTTTTCTGTGCCTTTGGCCCACACTTGACATGGTCCTCATTTGCTTCTGTGTTATATGTACAGCTCATATTAATTTTTAATTTTCAACCACTACTTCTAGATCTTCCTTCTGGATCATTCCTCAGAAGACTTTATATCCCACAGATTATTTCACTGCTGTATCTCTTGTATCCATCTGTTGTGCTGTACATTGAAATGATTGGAAATTTCTTTTAACTCCTCTTTATTCATGCTGTTATAATTAAATCATCTAAGTCTTGATTCATCTCCTTTACATCTCCTGCACATTTAGCATCATCTACTAACTTAGTCAGTATGTTGCTTGCTCTCTGAGTTCGTTAATAAAGATGTTATAGTGGACCAAAGGCTGTTCCCTCCTAGCAGACACCTCTCCTCAGTCATTACAGTGGTTTGTCATTACCTTTCACTGCAGTATTGTTTACCTGTTTATCCATTAATATTTGTTTTCAATCCACATAACACCATTCTTCTCTAAGCCAGCTTCAATTAAGTTTTCAAGTAAGGTTTTGTCAGACACTGTATCAAATATTTTCTAAAATTCTAATACGTTACTTGTGCCACTTTCTCTTAATCCAGGAATTTTGCTGCTTTATGTGACCAAGGTTATCTATCAGATTAAGAAATAATTTTTCAAAGGATTCAGGCATGTGCTTCAGGTTCATGCAATTTGCATTTATTAAAAATATAGCAATACTTTTGTGGCCAAAAATATATTGCAAGGGTAAATAAAAAATCAAAGCAGTTGTCTCTCCACCCCTTTATTTGCACCAGTTTCCAATATTTAGAGGACAAATGTCTAAGCTTCTACAATGTACTGCCCATCCAAACACTTGCAGAAGAAAACCCAAAAGGCATATTAGAAAAATCTGAATAATTTTACCTATTTTGGTTATTGAAAGAATATCCAAAGTCAGAACTTTTGCTGCTTAAGACTGAAATGTCTTGTAAAATTGCTAGTGGAAAGTTGCTTGCACAAAGGAAACCTCTGATGACACACTCATTATTTCAATAAAGTTCTTCAGTTTAATGACTGTGGTTCTGTTGTTAGCTGAGTGATTACAGAATTTTAAAAATACAATTATAGCACATTTTAAATTTTTTTCAGTGTCAATCCAAAATTCTATTGGAGTGAGCTAATTAGTTCATTCAATGATAATTGATTTAAACAAGAATTTTCCATATTTGAAAGTAGTTTTTCTTTTCCTCAGTCTACATGATCTTTCCAACCATACATAAAATATTTTTAGAATGACAATAGCACAATATATTTGTTAACTAAGATGATCTGCCATTCAATTTATTTATGAGTCTTGACACAACAGAAAAAGGAGAAAGTTTTCTTTGCCATTTCTTTCTTTTTATAAGATGGAGAAACTCAACTGTCCTTTATAAGAGATTCGGTCAATGTCAGAACACCGTGACATGGAGCCTGACTTTTTCCAGGTATTAAAACCAAGGCTTCTCTTTAACCCATTGAGAAAAATAACCAGAACATTGTCAAGCCCATGTTGTGAGGAGTTTATTTGGTGGGGTTCTAGTCTCTGTCCATCCAACCATTTACCCATTCATCTGAAACTCTAAAGCTAGT